CTGTTTTGTGTAATGAGCAGACGGCGATGGACGCATTACTGGTAACGATGCGATCAAGTTTTTCTCTATGTCGAATTTGCCTCGACCTGAGTTGAAGCAGGTAAGGATTTGGGGTTTGAATTGAATGCGTTGTTCGCTTGTTTGGCCGCTATTATTCTCTGAGGTTTATCCAATGATTGAACAACTTCACTTGACGATAGAGAAGATGCTATGGTGACTTCCAACCCTACGTTGTTTTGCGTTCTGAATCCAAGGCTTAATAGATTTTTGGTGTCATTTGGCAAAGCATTTTAGTAGTTTTTTTTTGTTGTTGATTCATCTCAATTTGGTTAAAAGGTGATAAATATGCTGCTGATTCTCTTCTGGTTTTTTGGATAGGTCTGGGCAATTGCAGATTCAAAGAGACAGGGGTTTCTTGGTTTCAAAGAATTTATTGTTGCTATGCAGGTTGAGATCCAATTTACGTCTCCTATATAAATGTCCATGGCTAGTTGTGAATCTAATCTATTGTTGTTTTTTGAACATTACAGCTCGTTTCTTTGGCTCAAACTGGACATGAAATATCACATGAAGTTCTTCATAGCGACGGTATGGTGATTAAAGCATGAATCCATACTTTGTTTCTTTTCTGAGCTCATGCTTAAGTGGTGTCTTTCTTCATCTCAATATGCTAAGTGTATAGTGGTACCTTCCAAGGGCTATCCTTGCTTCAACAGTTAATATATTGTTCTTGTTTCTGAAACATTTTTTTCGCTAATTGTAGTTGATTTCAAAAATATGAATCCTCCTACCATGGAAGGTCTGGGTGTATTAATGGCGGTTAGTATTGGGCCTGCAGTTTCCAATTTATATCTTTTAGTTTAAATAAATACTACTACTTACACTTACAACTGTTCATTTAACACAGAAGAAGAAGCATTCATCAAAGTCGAGTGATCCTAATGGTACAAAGATTCTCTTTATACTAAAGCTAGCTGTTGAACTTTTGTAAACATATATGCCTCTTTTGATTCAATTTTTTTCAGGTAGTCCTACTGCAGATACATCACTTACAGCTCAGTGGTTCTCTTCAAAATCTTCAAAAAAGGTTTGTTTTGCTCCAAGCAGTCTATTTAACTACCAACCATTTAGGCCATATTTAGTAAATATATATTTTTGGTCGTTCTTACCTATAACTTTCATTATGTATTCAAAATCATTGCTAGAGTTTCTGTCAAGTTTTTCTTTGCTGCTTAGAACTTTTAAAGTTAAATTTACATATACAGTTTGTGTAAACTGAATATCTTGTTCTCAGATTTCTCTGTCCTCAGTAACATCTATAGTCGATGGACTGAAGAGGTTGTACATTCAGAAGCTGAAGCCACTTGAAGTTGCATATCAGTTTAACGATTTTGTATCCCCTTTGTTGGTAAGCGGATTTTTGTTTTGTTTTCCAAATATATTAAATTCTAAACAATATTGGACCATTTGACTAATTACTTGTGTTTTCCTTAGACTAACAGTGATTTCGATGCCAAACCTATGGTAATGCTTCTGGGTCAGTACTCCACAGGAAAAACTACATTCATTAAGCATTTGCTTAAAACTAGTTATCCAGGCAAGTTATACATCTTATCCCTTTTCACCACCCCTTGAACATACAATCAGGTCAATGATTAACAATAAAACATCTTCCTGATAACTCCAGCTATCATTTTGTTTTACAGGAGCTCATATTGGACCAGAACCGACTACTGACAGATTTGTTGTTGTCATGGTATATTATCTTGTAATTTTCGAAGTGTTTCATTTGTGGGGGGTTGTATTAGTCCGTTACAATGTTAATCCATTATCGACTGCTAAACATTTTTTGTCTTTGTTTGAACCAAATGTGTGACAATGGTTGCTCTCATCCCTCATGAAGAATAACTTTGATCCGTTGATTACGTTTACAGTCTGGACCTGATGAAAGAAGCATTCCTGGTAACACTGTAGCAGTTCAAGCAGATATGCCATTCAGTGGTCTTACAAGTTTTGGGACTGCCTTTCTGTCAAAGTTTGAATGTTCTCAAATGCCTCACCCTGTATGTATAACCTCCTGCTTCCAAATGAAGATTGGTTTTGTTTATTTTTATACTACTTTGCTGATCCATTTATCTTTGTGAAGCTGCTGGAGCACGTAACATTTGTTGACACTCCTGGAGTTTTATCAGGGGAAAAGCAACGGACACAGCGAGCATATGAATTCACTGGTGTTACATCATGGTTTGCCTCTAAGTGTGATCTCATCCTCCTCTTATTTGACCCACACAAGCTGGATGTAAGCGATGAGTTCAAGCGTGTTATATCATCTTTACGTGGTCATGATGACAAGATCCGCGTTGTTCTGAACAAAGCTGACCAAGTGGACACTCAGCAGGTTGGTGCCCGATATGTTTACCATATCCTTTTACATTTAAATATATGTCTTTGTATCCTGTGTAGCTGATGAGGGTTTATGGAGCTCTGATGTGGTCACTTGGGAAAGTTCTCAATACTCCCGAGGTTGTCCGTGTCTACATTGGGTAAGTATACCGGATTCTCCAACTTGTTAGAGGTAAAAGCCGCTTGTAACTGAAGTCGATGTTTGATGTCTTTGTTTGCTTGCTCTGAACAGCTCCTTCAGTGATAAACCCATAAACGAATCTCTGACTGGTCCAATTGGGAGAGAATTGTTTGAAATGGAGCAAGATGACCTTCTCTCTGATTTAAAAGACATTCCAAAGAAAGCTTGTGATCGTCGAGTGAGTGTGAACCTTACTTCTTTCACA